CGCACTTGCCGCTGCAAGCGCGGTGGCGGATACGGGTTGACTGTACACTGGGGCCCATGCCAAGAAACACCCTGCTTGCCTCCAGTGTGCCCTGGGTCTCTTGGGTTTCGATAGTTTTGCGATGGAAAAGCGTGGCGCTCCCACACTAAAAACCGACGGACGTGCTGGGGTCTCAGGGTTGGGCTTCTTGCGGAAGGCTTCTTGTGGTCGGGCCCCTACTGTACTCTTCCGCAGCGGCGGTGTGCTCGTCGTCGTCCGGCCCGCCCCCGATCGTTGCACATCCAACCCCGATACGATAAACCAGACCTTTTTGGGCGCCACCGGCGGTGCTCCCTGCGGGCACAAGAAGGGGCCTCGCTCTTGTCGAGGACGGGAAGTCCTCCGCAAAAGAAACAGCGGTGGTGATGGCGGCCATTCTTCAGCAGTTCTCTCTCCAAGAATTGATGAGGAACGTTCTGATGTTCCAACCCACTTTAGCCTAGATCACCAGAAAGAATTCCGAGCACCAAACACAGTACCGAAACGCGAGCGTTTTCACGTGTCGGGCCCTGGGGGACACTCGTCCAACACCGCTTCGACCCTCTTGCGACCCTCCTGCGACACTTTTTCCTGGTGCTCGAAACCATTTCTGGGATCTGGTCCTCCAGTACGACGGGAGCACCATCAGAGGCATGCTCGGCGTGGCCACTTGCGGTTCTCCGGTAATTAGCAGGGCCGATCCTGAGGGGGGAGGAGGAGGAGGAGGAGGAGGAGGAGGAGGAGGAGGAGGAGGAGGAGGAGGAGGAGGAGGACCGCCGCCCGAGGCGACGCCCGTGGGCTCCGGGGCCTCGACGCCGCCCGCCGGGGGCGCCCTCGGGGTCTCCTGGTACCGGGAGTGCGGCTGCACGGGCATGGAGATCGAGGCCGTCGGGCGCGGGCGGGCGGGCCGCGCCGCGCGGGGTGTCTGCCAGGAGCTCCAGTCGGGCGCGTCCCTCTACAGGAGGCATGTTCCAAAATAGTCTTTAAAAAACACCGCCTGGGGCGATTTTTCTATACATATATATATATATATATATATATATATATGGGGCGATGTCAGATCCGTCGTCTAATGTAGGGGGACGTGCCCGACCGAATGGTAAGCCCGACCTTCCAGGAGGGCTACAACGTAGCACCAGGATCCTGGCAGCCGAACTCCAGGCGAGATCTCAAGCAGTCCAGATGGGTCGAGGCCTGGAGCGCTATGTTTGCCGGCATTCTGGAAGCCCCCCATGTTGGCATTGTTGGCTATTGCTGTTGGCATTGTTGGCTATTTTTGTTGGCAGTGTTGGCATTTGTGTTGGTATGTTGTTGGCATTGTTGGCTGTGTTTCTTGGCTTTCCGCTCCATGTTGCAGCTCCTGGGGCCCCCCTGGGCCTCATGGGGGGTGCTTTGGAGGTCGTGGGGGCCTCCTTGGAGATCCTGGGAGCAGCTTGGGTCAGGGGCACTTTGGCAGCACTCGATCTGCGCTCTTCTCGGGGGCGTCCAAAAGAGGGCGGGGAGGACTCGAGGGGCGGTGGATAGCATGGCTGGGGCCATGAGACCTCCCAGGTTCCATTGCCCTCCATGTGACGAGCAGTGCAACATAGTTGGTGCCACATCCCGCTTCTGGAACCAAGGGAACGATGCCGAGGTGTTGTGGTCTTCGCACTGCTTTATTATTAGTAGTATTGCTAATGTTATTGTTATTTTGATGACTAGTCTAAGTAGTAGAAAAAAGAAAATGATTATTAGTATTAGAAGTATCATGTGTTGTCTTCTTCGTTTTCTACAGGGCTAGGACGAGGAACAGTCCGTTCAGAGCGCTCCGGAAGGCTCTCAGAGCATGCCGGAGCGCTCCGAGAAGGCCGCGGCGCCCGAGGCGTCCTCCAGAGCCGCCAGGTCTCGGAGGTTCTCGCTCTGTCCTCACCCGAGCTGGTCCTCGCCCTGGCTTCGTCCTGGGCGTCGAGGCCGCACCCGGGGCCCGCGGGTCGGAGCGAGCAGTCGCTCCGGGCCAGGAGGCCGCCCGTCGCGCGGTGCCCCCGCAGCACACCGTCGGCCCGGCAGGCACAAGGCCTTGGCATCGCTCGGACGTGTCTGTGTTCTCTCGGCGAGGACCACCGAGGACCATCCTGGATCAGCGGGCAACAAATCGGGGGCGGAAAAGAGGGGGGTGATGGGTGATGACAAGGGGGGGGGGGATTTCATGGCGCGGGCCATGATTTTTCCTCAGATTTCATGGCGCCTCTTCTTATTTTATTACGTCCCAGGCCCCCCCGCTGGGCCGCGCACATGCCGCCGGTCATGATTTGCACCCCCCCCTCTTGGACACCCCCCTCTTTGCCGCTCCCGAACAAAAAACACACGCTCGGGACCGACAAATGCACGCGGAATGGGCGTCCGAGCGATGGCGAGAGGCGCGGAAGCAGGAGCCGGAGGGGGGGCTCGCGATGCCTCGGTGCTCCGTTGGGTGCCCTCGTGCACCCAGGCGCTGCTCGGCCACGCGCAGTGGGGCGGGGGGCATGCGGCGGGGGGGGGGGAGGGCTTCTCGGTGGCACCCGTTGCCTCCCGGAGGGTGCGGGCCCTGTCTGGAGATGCCGGGCCGGCGCCCTCGAAGAAGCAGCCTCCTTCTGTCTGAAAGGAGCCTCCCCCCCTCCCCTACACTCCAGGCGATGCTTAAGAAAACCCAAGTTTTCGGCCAGAGTCTCGATTATTCTTAACGTTTCAGTGTAAATCCCAAGATTTTGATAGAAATTCTGGGTTTTTATTCAAGTTCTGAGACTATGAATTTCTTAACCCATGATTTCTTAAGCATTTCGCACGGTGTACCCCTTGTGCGCGCCGCCAGGCTCTTCTGATGGCCGAAGAGGGACGTCGTTGTCTCCTCCAGCGTTCCGTCTGGCAGTTGCCTGGCTGAATCCTCAAGTCGGGCCTGTCCCTCCACAGGGGGAATATTCAAGAATAGTCAAAAATAGTCAGGGGGCGATTGTTTGACCATTTTTGATTATTTTTGGTGTATTGTTTGGGTATTGAACATTTTTCGTCCAAATTCTCTTGTAGGGGGACACGCCCGACCTAAACCGTATCCCCCTCCGAGCGCGCGGCGCCTGCAGGCGCAGGCAGCACCCGAGGCCGTCGTCGCCAGGTCCAGAAGACCAAGCCTCCGTTTCCTACGTACTGTCCCGCCGCTCGGCGCGGGCCCCCCACGCCCTTCCTCCCCCCCCGCGTGCTGTTTTTTTACACACAGGATTCCCGGGAGTTGGGTTTTCGCCTGCGTTTTTTTCAAAATGCTGCTCTCGCTGAGGCGCCGGCTTCATTTCTGCTCACGAATCGTTCCGAATCGTGCTCCCGCTGCAGCGTGGGCCTCATTTTCGGATCGGTGTTTTGCCTCCGTCGTTCAGGATGGCGTTCTCGCCCCAGCGCGGGCCTCTTTCTCGCGCGCCCATCCGCCCGCCACCACCGCGCCGCACCACGCCCCGCCCCGCCGCACGCACACCCACCGCCACTTCCACCCACCAACGCACGCACGCACGCACGCGCACCACCACCGCGCACCGCCACCACCACCGCACTACCCCACCACCACCACCACGCTACACCGCGTCACACCACATCACACGCGCGCACACACAGACACACACGCACGCACGCACGCACGCGCACGCACGCACGCACGCACGCACGCACGCAAGCGCACGCACGCACGCACGCACGCACGCACGCACGCACACACACACACACACACACACACACACACACACACACACACACACACACACGCACGCACACACGCACACACACACAGACACACACACACACACCACACACCGCCACCACCACCGCACCACCACTACCGCCATCACGCACGTACGCACCTGGCCCACCACCAAACCACCAAGACGCCACACCACGTCACACCACAGCACACGCGCACACACGCACACACACACATACACACACCACAAACAACCACAACCACGCACACACGCACGCACGCACGCGCACCACCACCCACTACGCACACGCGCGGAGCCACAGGTCCGCTACGACACGCGTCCGCGGATAGAGAAAATCAGCGCCATGGTAAGGGATGGGAGGGAGGGGTAGGATGTCAGATGTTGACGCGAGCGCACCTAACTTGTCCTCCTCCTCCTCCTCCTCCTCCTCCTCCTCCTCCTCCTCCTCCTCCTCCCTCCTCCTCCTCCTCCTCCTCCTCCCTCCCATAGGCTGGATCTTGGCTGTTTTTGACGGCTGCTTTTGGCGACTGGTAGAAGCAGATCGACCAAGATCCGGCCTAGGCCCAGACCCCCCCCATCCCCTGCCCTGCGGCCAAATGCCGAGACCCAGAACAGAAAACCGCTTTGGGACCGCTGCAGGCTTCCAGGATCTCCGCAAAGCTCAGGGACCCTCCACACTTCCAGGGACCTCTGGAAGAGGAGGAGGAGGAGGATGAGCAGCAGCAGCGACAGAGAGCAGCAGAGGGCAGCACAAGGGAGGAGACATGAGGAGACAGGAGGGTGAGGAGGAGGAGGAGGAGGAGGAGGCGGCGGATGTAGCCGTAAACTCGTGACGGACAAGCGAACTGATTGTCTTTCGCGGGCCGCATGCTGACACCCAGGCCGTCGCCTGGGCACAACAGCACACAGCTGAACAATCTGACCGCAACTCGCAGGAGCTGGCTCCAGCATCGCAATTAACCGCAACGTGAATGCCACACGAATCCGGAACGCAAAGGGGAAGGAAGAGTAGGAGGAGGACGATGAAGAGGGGGACTGTGGACTGCCGCCTCTAAGCCTCATTGTAATAGTCTATACACGCGCTGCTTTGGTGCACTCGTTCAAGGCTGGCACACCAAGGATCTCAAATGGTTGTTCGGCTGCCTACGGCAAGTCCCGCCACCGAGCTTGGGTGATGGCTTCTACGCCAAGTCGATGTGCGTTGGAATCTCGTGGCTCTTTTGGGGGCCCGTGTTGGGGCCCTCGTAGGCCGTCTGGGGCGCCTCTTGGGGCGCCCTTAGGCCGTCTTGGGGCCCTCTCTCTTGGACGCCTCTCAGGTCGATGTGTGGTGGTCTTGGGGGGCTTCTTGGGCCATCTTGGAGCGTCGGAAAACCGAAAAGGCGAGAACGCTCGAATTCATATATACATACTTATATATATATATATATATATATATATATAAAGAAAAAACGCAAGGCAAGTCACACAGTTCTGCCTTTGGGGCCCCCCTGGGAAGACCTATTCGAGGCCTCTCACGGCGCCTCGGAAACCTCTTGCACCATCTCAAGGCCATATTGGGCGTCTTAGGGCCATCGTTCGGCTGGGGCCCTCTTGGACCGTCTTGGGGGCCTCCTGGGCCATCATGGATGCCTCCGAGAGCCACAGAGAGGCGCCATGGCCGCCATGGCCTGTGCGCGCGGCGAGGCGCTTCCCGAGGAGGTGGGGGCCCGGTAGAAGATGCAGAAACTTTGCCAGACAGCACTTGGCATTCTATCACGCCTCAACATGCCAGGGGGCACGGTGGCGGAATGTCTGGCAGAGGTGCCTCTTGCGCAGTGCCTCGCTCAGACGATCCGCACGCGCTGTGCTCAGAACTGTGACGTTCGGCACCCTGAAGTTGTACGAACGTGGGTTTCTCAATGTTCCTCGAAGACACGATGTTTGGAAGCTTTCCTGCCTCTGCGAGTCTGCGAATAATCGCCACACTTGTTCAAGTTTGTACAATAATTTCGGCACAGCTCTACGATCAAATTATTCACTGCGTGGAGCTCCCCATATGTGCATCTACTCGCATGGACCTGTCCGCCGTGAATGTCTAGGCGCAAGAGCTTTCGAATATTAACGGGCTTCAGTTGTGACGGTCTGGGACATCAATCTAACTGCGAATGAATTGGAGTGTGAATGAGCCTCAGTAGTACGAGCGCGTCTCTGTGCATGAGCCTGGGGCCTCCTGGGGCCTCCTGAAACCTACTGGGGCTTCCTGGGGTCTCCAAGAGCCTCTTGGGACCTCCTGGGACCTCCTAGGAAGGTTTCGTGCCCCAGGGGAGGCGCAATCTATAGCAACAGACGTACATAAAACATTGCGGATTAGAGCCACAGGAGAAGGGCAATCTATAGGAACACGCGTAAAACACCAAGGACTCGTGCCCCAGGAGAGGCCCAATACATAGGAACATGAGTAAAACATTTAGGATTGTGTACACAGGAGAAGGACCATCTATAGAAACATACGTAGAACATCAAAGAATCGTGCTCCAGGTGAGGCCCAATCGATAGGAGCATACGTAAAACACATGGGATTGGAGCCACTCCTGTTGCCTTCTGAGGCCTCCTGCTCCTGGGGCCTCTCGGGGCCTCCTGTTGCCTTCCGAGGCCTCCTGGCGCTTCCTGTTGCCTCCTGGGGCCTCCTGTGGTTTCCTGAGGCCTTCTGGAGCTTCCTGGGGCCTCCTGGAGCCTCTTGGGACATCCTGTGGCCTCTTGAGTCTTTCTGTGGCCTCCTGATGCCTCCTGGGACCTCATGTGGTCTCCTGGGGCCTCCTGGAGCCTGTTGGAGCCTCCTGTGGCATCCTGAGAAGAATCTGCGCCCACGAGCCTGGCCACCAAAACAAGCAAACCGATCGAGACATCCTCAACATCTGGCCCACCTGGGGGGTGAAAATGAGCGCCTCGCTCGAGACATCCTCCAAATCTGCTCCGAAAGCGAAGGATGTTGGGCCCAGAAACAAGCAAACCGCCTGAGACATCCCCACAAAATGGCCGCGAACGAGCCCGTGCAACCACCCCTGGCGGCTCCCCTTAGGGGTGCTGAAATGAGCGCCTCGCTCGAGACATCCTCCAAATCTGCTCCGAAAGCGAAGGATGTTGGGCACAGAAACAGGCAAACCGCCTGAGACATCCCCACAAAATGGCCGCGAACGAGCCCGTGCAACCACCCCTGGCGGCTCCCCTTAGGGGTGCTGAAATGAGCGCCTCGCTCGAGACATCCTCCAAATCTGCTCCGAAAGCGAAGGATGTTGGGCACAGAAACAGGCAAACCGCCTGAGACATCCCCACAAAATCCGCGAACGAGCCCGTGCAACCACCCCTGGCGGCTCCCCTTAGGGGTGCTGAAATGAGCGCCTCGCTCGAGACATCCTCCAAATCTGCTCCGAAAGCGAAGGATGTTGGGCACAGAAACAAGCAAACCGCCTGAGACATCCCCACAAAATGGCCGCGAACGAGCCCGTGCAACCACCCCTGGCGGCTCCCCTTAGGGGTGCTGAAATGAGCGCCTCGCTCGAGACATCCTCCAAATCTGCTCCGAAAGCGAAGGATGTTGGGCACAGAAACAGGCAAACCGCCTGAGACATCCCCACAAAATGGCCGCGAACGAGCCCGTGCAACCACCCCTGGCGGCTCCCCTTAGGGGTGCTGAGTATGAGTAAGTCTGTGTATGAGTAAGTCTGTGTATGTGTACGTCTGGGTATGACTAATACTGTGTATGAGTAAGTCTGTGTATGAGTAAGTCTGTATATGAGTATGTCTGAGTGTGAGTAAGTCTGAGTATGAGTAGGTCTGAGTATGAGTAAGTCTGAGTATGAGTAAGTCTGTGTATGAGCAAGTCTGAGTATGTCCGACAGGAGGGGAGGAGAAAAGAGGAGGAGGAAGGAGGAGGAGGAGGAGGAGGAGTAGGAGGCGTCCAAGTAATAACAAGAACCCCATCTTAGGATATGGGGAATAAGCAAACCTTTCGCGATTTGGACAACCCGTATGGCTCCAGCATTTGGCCGGTGCTCTGAAAATCCCTCGGGTTTCGCCTGGCAGTCTCGTAATTTCTGGGTTGTTTTCGGCGTTGCTGCGCAAGAGTCCACCCAAATAGACTGCTAGATGTGCGTGTTTGTTAGCTGCGACGCAGGGTCCCGTATCACGCCACGGTCTTCTCCGCATGCAAGTCCAGGCCGTATTGCTTGCCCACGTTGATGGTGAGGTTCGGCAGAAGTTGAAAATTCAAGGGCATGGTGTCGTCCGCGTACAAACATCATTCCATGCAGCGCACTTTGGTGCCACAGAGCCCATGTCCAGTTCGTTGTGCAGGTTGTCGGCGTCGAGAAGCAACTCCGTTTGAACAGAGTGACGAATAAGTATTGGGACTGCGGGAATCCTTGAGCTGTTCCTGCTCGCTGCTGCCTGACACCGGAATCGCTTGCCGTGTCTGTCGGAAGGAGATTGTGGGTTTTGTACAGTTGTGAATACGAGTATTTGGGGCTGGAATGCCAGACCGCGCCAGAGCTTTGCTCCTCGCTTCGTGCTTCATCCTGTCGGACGCCTTAGCCCAGTCGAGTGAAACAGCCACCAATCCAGGTTTTTTCACGGCGTCGATCATGCGACGGGCAATAGCACTTGAATAGCATGTGATGCGCCTCGGTCTGAATCCCAATTGCGTTTGTCGTATTCGTTGCTCGGTCCCTCCATGTCATAATCGTTATGGGGTCAGATTCCTCCCTTCCCTACCTGCGTTCCTCCTCTTCCTCGTCTTCCCCTCCTGATCCTCTTCCCTCCACTCTCCGCATCCCGTCTATCCCCTTCCTCCTCCTCTTCCTCCTCCTCTTGCTCCTCGTCTCCGGGTGCGCTTCACGCCGAGCTCGATCGCAGCGACACTATGCACGAATTGTTGGAGGCTGCACGGCGTGCAGTGCGTACACTCTCGGGCAGGCAAAAGACAGCAGGTATGCATGAAAACCGAGCGGTTGTTCCTCATGTCTCGTCCTCCTGTCTCCCATTCCATGCCTCCCTCCTTATCCTCCACCCTTCTATCTCCTCCCTGATCCTCCGACTTCTCATTTATCTGCTGATATTGGCGGTCTGCAGAGAGCCCAGATTGGCCAGGCACGGCCAGCGCATGACTTGTACTTTTCGGGCTTCACCGTTATCATTGTCAGCGCTGCCTGGCGAGTGCAGAGACTTAGGGGACCCGCCTGGAGGTCACAGGAGGTCCCCGGAGGCCTCCAGAGGTCTCTGCCATGGGTGGCTCCCAGAAGCGTTCAGAGGCCTCTGGAGAGCCAGCAGATGCTGAGAAATGTCCAAACCGTAGCAAAAACGCCCGAATCTCTCGATCACCGAACTCCGACCCTCGACGACGACGACGACGACCCTTGACGAGACGATGACGACGACCCAGACTCCGGCAACGTGATGTTCTGCATGACGTGGACACCCCAGAGGTTTGGACCCCTTCCCGGGGACCGGCTTTTCATCCTAGAGTCGTGTTTACTGGTCCCATCAGGGGCATCGACAGGGGGGTGGTAGGCATCGGGGGGGATGCGTCGACCCCCAATCGCGCATGGATCGCCGATGGGGGCCCGATAGCCCCAACCTGCCCAGGAACGTTCGGATTCACTATCGGGGCCGTATCGCCGATGTACCGGCGATGTATCGCCGATTTCAGGTCGATGTGTCCCCCCTTTGCGAGTCCCCCCCTATCGTTACCCCTCATCCCAGGGCCCAGCGAGGGCCCCGAGAGATCGAACAAGAACAAACAGACAGTCCGTCGGGCTTTTTTTGTCTTACGACGCGAGGGCGTCTGGGGATGACGACAACGTCGACGCCAGCCAGCCGCCCGTCAGACGGGGCCAGGACGAGGATACAGTGGAGACCCATGCCAAGAAACACCCTGCTTGCCTCCAGGGTGACCTGGGTTTCTTGGGCTTCGATGGTCTTGCCATCAAAAGCATGACGCCCCCACGCCGAAAATCCCTGGACGTCCTCGGGTCTCAGGGTTGGGTTTCTTGTCAAGGGTTCTCGTGGTCGGTCGGGCCTCCACTGCAGAGCCGTTCCAGAGCATTCTGGACCGCCCTCAGAGCGCTCCGTTAACGCTCTGAGAGAAGGCCGAAGGCCGCGGGCCCGAGGCATCCTCCAGAGGGAGGAGGGGGGAGGAGGAGGAGGAGGAGGAGGAGGAGGAGGAGGAGGAGGAGGAGGAGGCGGAGGATGGAGGAGGAGGAGGTAGGAGGAGGAGGAGGAGGAGGAGGAGGAGGAGGGAGAGGAGGAGGAGGAGGAGGAGGAGGAGGAGGAGGAGGCCGCCGGATCTCAGAGCTTCTCGATTTCTATCCTGCCCCGATGTTATCCTCGCCCGGGCTTCGTCCTCACGAGGCGGTCACCATCCTCGAGGGGCTCGCCCGCTCCCTGGGCGCCGGGCGCGTGCGCACGAACCGCTGCGAGGCGTCGTGCGTCTGGCCGGCGTCGACCCGGCGGGTGCTGGACGGCGCCGTGGGGGAAAGGGGTCTCGAGTCCTGAGGGCAAGGGGGTCTCCTCCTCCTCCTCCTCCTCCTCCTCCTCCTCCTTGCTCTCCTCCTTGCTTCCTCCTCCCCCTCCTCCCCCCTCCACCTCCTCCTGGCTCCTCCTCCCCTTAATTTTACCTCCTCATTGCTCCTCCTCCTCCTCCTCCTCCTCCTCCTCCTCCTCCTTCCCCTCCTTGCTCCTCCTCCTCCTCCTCCTCCTCCTCCTCCTCCTCCTCCTTGCTCCTCCTCCTCCACCTCCTCCTCCTCATTCTCCTCCTTCTACGGCGACGGCGAGCATCCGAAGCAGAACAGATTGCGTAGCTTGAGTGGGCGCCCGGGACCCCCCAGGCGCGCTCTGCGCGCCAGCGAGGAGGGTCGGGCGCCAATCCAATAGATCAGATCCGCGCGGGGTTCCGGCAGTTTATCCATGCTCGTTTGGGGGACAAATTTAGGGACCATCTAACTGATATGTTCGACTCTAGCTCGATTCAAGTTCGATTCAGGTTCGATTCAAGTTTGATTCAAGTTCAACCCAGTCGACGGCCGTTTGATGTAGCATCGACGCATCAGTGGAGCGAGTGGTTCCAGGAAGGTCCCCGCATCGAAGATCTGAGTTTGTGGTTGTGCCGTTTGTCATTCTTCGGCTCCAGTGGACTGCGGCAAGTCCCGCCGCTGGTGGCGGCCCAGTGCTCTCGGGAAGCCAGCTGGTCGAGGGGCGGCAGGAAACTGCAATTACGTAAGTCGAGCGGCGGTGAAGGTACAAATATTCGGTAGCAAATCATGGGAGCCTCGTATACCCTCGTAGCTCCGTCTTGAAAGTACCTTAACGTCAACTGGCGTCTGGTAATTGATGAGATACACGGGTTCGGCGTCGATCAGCGTCGATTCGCAAGAGCTGGCAGGATGGTGTGGGAGGCCCCCGTGAGTTGCGACCGAGCATAGTGCGTTGGCGGTTGGCGCTTGGAGCCGGTTGGGGGGGGCTGAGGTGGTTCAGCCGAGCTTCTGGTTTGCAGGAAGGGGAGAGAAGGTGCCCCCCTGCTGCCACGGCCTGACGCGGCTCGAGCAGCTAGTCATGCTCGACCCCACGAGGGTTCTGGGGACCGATGTTGATTGAATCTGTGTTATCCCCCTGTCTTGACCGATTGTCGCTGGGCGTATCCAGCTCAGACCCCTGGGCTGCCTCCACTTTGGAGTGAGGGTCCGAAGCCTGTCACGTGTCACATCTCGGCCGTCTTGAGTTTCTTGGGTCATCTGAGATGTTCTTGGGGCGGAGAAGGTGGTGAAATAAACAATGATGAAGGGGGGATGATGAGGAGGACGAGGAGGAACAGAAGGAGGAGGAGGAGGACAATTGTAGTGGACGAGTGCGATGTGGAGCATCATGATGGTAATGATGTTGAGGAGAAGCTCATGTGGGGCTGTCTTCGGTCTGCCTTGTGCTCCTGTCGGTCCATCATCACCATCATCACCACCATCATCATCATCATCATCATCATCATCATCATCATCATCATCATCATCATCATCATCATCTCATCGTCATCATAAGCACAATCAGTACCAGCATCCTCATCATCATCACCATCATCAATCATCATCGTATTCCGCATCTCCATCGTCATCCGGATATGGAGATGACTCCCGCCCACGAGTCTTGAGGTGTTTTGCCGTCCTCGGTCTCCAGGGAGAGTCAGGATGGCACATGGGTCTTTGGGATCACCCCAGAAGTCCAGAACCCGTTTCCCTCAGGACCCCTTTGTTTCGCGGCAAGGATCAGATCGAGCTTCAGTGGGGCGAGAGGGATTTGTCGGATTGGCTCTTCGCGGATCGCCCGCCACGCAGGGTGGTGTTCGTGGTGCATGCGGCGTTCCTGGGAGTGTGCGGCCTTCCCGACTTCCTGCAGTACGCTGCGCAGGACGACCCGCTGGCGCGAGCCGTGCGCGGTGGCCGCCCCGATCTGCTGCGCGTGAGCAGGAGCATGCTGGAGACTGACCGCCTCGACCCCATGAACGCGGAGCGCTGCAACAAGCAGTTCGATGCTGTCTGGGTTCCTTCGAAGTTCAACGAGGAGACGTTTTCTAGATCTGGCGTCGAGGCAAGCATGCTGAAGGTGCTGCCCGAGGCGATCGACCCCCGGCTCTTCAACTGCAGCGCCGGGAGTCCGCCGGTGCGTCCGCCGGTGCCGCACTTCGGCGTGGCGGAGCTGGACCAGTTCGTGGCCGCAGGGGTCGGGCACGACGTGTTCACGTTCCTCTCCGTCTTCAAGTGGGAGGAGCGGAAGAACTGGCAGGCGCTGCTGGAGACGTTCTGGCGGACGTTTCCCCGCCGCTCGACGCAGGTCGCCCGGGAGGACGGGCAGACCGTCGGCACCACCGTGCGCCTGTTGATCTCGAGGAAGGAGCCCAGCACGAGCAGAAACGGGCGGGTGCCCGTGCGGATGCCCGGCATCCTCGCTGGGCCCCCCCCCCACGGCGGCGGCCGCGGGGCGGCCCCCGCGCGCTCAGAGAGGGGGGGGGGGCAGCCACGGAGCCAGGAAATCCGCACGGAGGCTCCACGGGTTGACGCTCGTTCCGTTCTCCGTTCCTCGGTGGTCAAGACGCAGCACTTGTCGTGGGGCACCCACCCCGACGACGACGTGGCCCAACTCCATGCGGCGCTCGGCGTGTCCGCGGAGGACGCCGCGGGGCGGCTGCTGGTGACCAGGGAGCCGCTGCCGCTGCCGCTGCTCCCCGGCCTCTACCGGGCCGCAGACGCCTTCGTCCTGCCGTCCCACGGGGAGGGCTGGGGCCTGCCCCTGATGGAGGCTCGCAGGGCATGGGCCCACGATCGGCGAACATTTGTTATTGAGCAAGGTTTCCAAAGGCGTCGCAAGGGCAATGTACCACTTGTGTGGGATGATGGGTGCAGACAGAGCTCTCAAGCCATGGTTACTCTACTAGTGCGCTTGCCGTCTCTAGTCGTGGCCCGCTTGGAAGACAACGGTTGCGTGTGACCGTCCTTCCACGCAGTTCTGCAGGCAGCAGCATCCCCGCGCAGCGTAGCGGCGAACATATCCGTACCCGCTCCCTCGCGGTCTGGATTGCGGCGCGCGATCCCGCTGATACGCGGTCGCGCAGGTACGTTCTGTGCGGGGCATCCTCGAAAAGGCGCCCCGTATCCGCGGGGCCCAGGGGCCCGGCCCGCGAGGCTACTGATGCGGAGATCGGTTTTTCGCCCACGACAGACCCCCTCCCAGACATGCGATGCCCTGATTTTTGTCAGCACGGGGTCCCCGGAAGGCCAGACCCTTTCCACCATGGGACCGGCTGTTCACCCTGAGTCGTCTTTGACGGTCCCATGGGCCAATGGGCCAGGCGAGGGCCCCGAGGCGTAGAAAAACCTCCCCTGCCCTGTCCCGTTTGTTTTCTCTTCGCGACTCAAGCCGTTCTTGAGCCTTGGTCGCGAAACGAAGGTCTCGACGGGAGTGTTTTTTGGGCTGTCTGCTCGACGGTCCAGGGGCCATCGCAGGGCTCCGAGAAGCCGTCCACAAGAGACGGCTCCTCCTCCCCCTCCTCCTCCTCCTCCTCCTCCTTGCTCCTCCTTCTCCTCCTTCTCCCCCTCCTCCTCCTCCTCCTCCTCCTCCTCCTCCTCCTCCTCCTCCTCCTCCTCCTTCCTCCTCCTCCCTCTTCCTCCCATCCTCCTCCTCCTCCTCCTCCTCCTCCTCCCTCCTCCCTCCTCCTCCGCCTCCTCCTCCTCCTCCTCCTCCCCTCCTCCTCCTCCTCCTTGTCCTCCTCCTCCCCCTCCTCCTCCTCCTCCTCCTCCCCCTTCCTCCTCCTCCTCCCCCTCCTCCTCCGCTCCTGGGGCGGGAGGCCTCTCCCAGGGGAAGGGGGGCCAGGCCTCCTCGGCGGGGGCCCACGCCGTGGCACAGCCACGACGACGTCGTGGAGAGGGTGCGGCTTCGCCAGGGTTTGATGCCAGCGAAGGGCGTCTGCGGCGAGCCTGGGGGGTTATGATGTTCCAACCCGCTTTAGCATCAGGAAGAATTTCGAGCACCAAGAAGGTACCGAAACTGGAGGGTTTTCGCGTGTCGGGCCCTGGGAGGCGATACTCGTTCGACATTGTTTCGAGACTTTTCTGGGTGCTCGAAATTATTTCTGGAAAGTGTTCCTTAAGGACGATGAAAGCAACATATATAACTGAAGGGGAAGTGGGAGGGGAGGGTCTTCTCAGAAGGCCTGAACGGCCTCGGGCCTTCTGGGGAGTCTTCCGAGTTTGCCCCGCAGGCACAGAACATTGCCCGGAAGGCTTGAGGGCATCGGGGAACAATCAACGACATAAACATACAAATTCGGAGGTCCGCGCAGGTTCCTCGGATCGGCGCTGGGATCCTTGCCTGGGCGGGGGGTCCAGCGCCGATCCCAGAAACCCAAACCCGCGCGGACATCCGAGTTGTTCATGTTTGTGTAATTGTTCCCGCTCCCTTGACGTAGAAGGTCTGATGCTTCTGATTTGTTGGGGGCCAGCTCATGATGCCAGCCCGTGCCCATTCCGCCCCGTCTTTCACCATCATCAACCATCACCATCATCATCAGCACAATCAGCATCATCAGCATCATCATCATCATCACAACCACCACCACCAATTTCATCATCATCATCATCATCATCAGCATCATCATCATCAACATCGTCAGCATCATCATCATCATCATCATCATCATCATCATCAGCAGCAGCAGCATCATCATCATCATCATCATCATCAGCATCGTCATCGTCATCATCGTCATCATCATCCCTGTTCCTCATCTCTCTCCCTCCCTCTTTGTCCTTATCCTCCCGTTCCCTTTCCTCTCCCCCCTCCTCCGCCTCCTCCCACCCTTTTCCTCATCCTCATCCTCGTCATCATAATCGTCATCATCATCAGCATCAGCATCATCATCATCAGCATCATCATCGGCGTCGTCGTCGTGATCATCATCATCGGCATCAGCATCAGCATCAGCATCATCATCATCGTCATCATCATCATCATCATCCATCATCATCATCATCATCATCATCATCATCATCACCATCTTCATCCCTGTCTCCGTCACCGTCACCATCACAAATTGGGGGCGGTAAATGGGGGGAGAACAGTGCCCGCTTCGGGTCCCAACGGCCCCCCTCTTGGGCCCGACGGGGCCCCTTCACTTGGGAGGGCCGTCGGTTTAGTAGCAGCGTGCTTGCTTACAGGGGCTTGCCAGTCCTTTGACAACTGCTGGCATTGCTGTCGCAAGCTTTGCCATGCTACTGCTATGTTCTGCTACGCCATGCTAACTTCTATAACCCATTGCGCTGTTACACCGTGGTTACCCAAACAGTTAGCACGCATGCTAAACTTTAGTTGTGCGGTCGGTCACGTACTACATAATTGGCAACTGGTTTAGCACAGGTTACTGTAACCGCTTTCGTAGTTTGTTAACGTTTGTGCGCGGGTTAGCCAAGGAGTTAGTAACCCTGCGAGTGGGGGGGGGGGCTAAACCATTTAGCGCTGGGTTCGTTAAACCGTTTAGCTGGGGTTCGCTAAACCGTATAGCTCGTCCAGTAAACTACTTAGCGGACCCCTGGATAAGGCCTGTGATGGGGCTGATATCCTTCTTCCTTTCCTCATCCGCAGCCGTTTTGACAAAGTGTCCCGTTGGGCGTCCTTCCTTCGAGCTCATACAGAGTCAATATGTGGAATCCGCATGGGTGCTGTCAACCGTATCTTGGACACTCCACGCTCAGATCATCACAATGATTCGCGAGTATCTGAATGATGAGATGGTGACAAAGGCTTGGGACAGATGTGTTGACTTGTTCAAGCAACACGACGTCCTGATGTGGGAACAGCAGCTTCCAGCGAATCTTGTAGGAGCACACCCAAACAACAGGGGTGGTCTCGGTTTCATTCTGTCCTCTGCAATGGCCAGCGGCCACAAACATTGCACGGCTGGATGGTCATACGCCAAGGCGTCCCTCGGTGCGTGGGCTATCCAGGTTAAGGCGGGCTCAGAGTTTTCAAAACATGGTTGGACTTCAACAATTCGCAGTGCCAGGCTCAAGGGATCCCAGTATTTGACCACTTGGCGGCCGTGACCATTGGGTCTACGCATGCAAACGTCTTTGTCCGCGCAGTGAATGCTGAGATTTCGACCTCATGTAAGATGTTGGCACCGTCTGGTAATATCAATTGTAAGGACTTCTGTTCGAAGCACGACGGCTGGGCAACAGCAGTGGCTGGCGGGCTGTCCTGGAAGGTTTTGGCGGAGGAAGTCGCGAAGCGGTACCCATTGATAATGAACATCGGGATGAAAGCTCCCAGCCAGACGGGCACTCAGGGCGTCACAGAGCTCGAAGGTATCTTGGCACTCTGCGCATCATATCACCTTGCGCTGGACGCAGGACTGTCCGAGACGAATGCTTGGAATAATGCAATCATGTAGTCCACGCGCACAGAGCCGTTCTTGATTCAGTAGGCAAGCAGCTTGGGCAATCTCGCAGCGACCATCCCGTCTTGCTACTGGGAGGAGGCCAAGGATATCTACACGTGTCTGGCGAAGGCCCCAGTGGACGCACCTTCCAACTACGGTTTCGTCGGCCAGACCTTCATCGACAAGGTGGCGGGCCTCGCGTGGCCAGAGCAAGTTGTTCCCTTCATGCGTGTCAAGGTGGTGGCGCTGATGTGCAACCTTTTGTCGCCAGTGCAGAAAGCCGTCGGCAACTAGTGCTGCCTGCTTCGCGAGTGTGACCTGAATAAGCTGACCAAAGTAGCCAAAATTGAGGATGTGAAGACAGCCGGTGCGATGATGAACGAGGCGGGGCTTCTCTGCGGCGGCGTGCACAAAGTTCAGCAGTCCGCGAGGTCAAGCATGCTTGGACGCAGTGACCCCAGGCCGACGTGCAACACGCTGGGCAAAGGCAAGCAGAGCCGCGAGGGCATCGAGTTCGACTGCCTTGCGTCGGCGCACCAAGTGTTCATGGATGAGCTCAAGAAGAACGTCGGCTTCACCGTCGGCAACCGCTTCTGCCCCAACCACCGCTCGCAGACGGAGAGCCTCCAGGTGCGTTGCCAATTGGATCCTCGCGCCACCACGCGCGATGTGGTTTCTAAACGTGCTTTCTTATGGGGGTGACCGTTTCAGATTGACAGATTCGTGCCATGCTGTTTCTGTTGTTTCTCCTGTCGGGTATGATGCCATCATTCTCACGATGGTTTTTTGTTGGGTTAGGCCTGATGGCCTCGTTCGC